CTCTATAAAGGATGTCGACGGGTACGCTAAGAGGAAACCCGAAAACTTCAACTTTTTCTCTATCAGAAACGTATAAAGGAGTTGTAGTGCACATATTGCACCACTCAGTTGAAAATGCGCACAAAAATAATACGCTTTTTGCTGTTACATCTTCCTACCAAAAAATAGTCATTTTTTGCACAAATTTTGATAAAAATTTCGCTATAGAAATAAAGCATAATTGTTTACGTAGCCTACACTCTAAAAAGAATGGTTTTTTACTAAATCTAAAAAGGATTTCGAATTTTTGCAACCATTTCGAAATCATTTTTAGATTTCGCACGGAATAGGTTTAGTACGAAAGTTGCATAGCTTTTGCTTAATAAAAGTTTCGTATATAGCGTCTCGTGCTGTTTTCGGGTTTCACGAATAACAAAAAATAATTAAACTAATGCATGTCGAATTGTGTATACGTAATTTCTAAGGAATTATTTATTAATCTCAGAAGTGTGAGCAGGTCTTTCTAAAAATAATCATTGTCTATACACATAACCAAAAGAGAGTTGTGAAAATTATAAAACTAAACATTTTTGTGTGCTTTACTATAAACTTTACTACATAAAGATAAAGTTTCAAAAAGAAAATGGAAACGCGTTGCTCTGTTTATCGTCGTTTTCTTGCTGTTATTATTTTGTTCAAATAAGGATATAAAAACGAAATTAAATTTGATCTACCAATAGACACACACACACACCGCTAAATTCCTGTCTGAAACGTTAAATACCGCATACTAATATCTCATTCAGATCAGAATAAATGAGCTAGAACAACTTTTCAATATGTCGTCAACTAATTAGTAGTCATCTTTACATTAATGAAGTCTATACAAGCAATTTTCATTAGAGGATGTTATTCTGGGTTTGAAAGCCGCTTTCAAACTCAGACAGTTCTTCGACTCGAAGAACTTTATTTAGCAAGAGAACGTTATAGGAAAATAAATGATGCATACTGATATATACCCCTGGCAAAAATAACGCAAAGCAAGACAAAAATATATGGGTTGATAGAGAATTTCAACCTCTATCAGAATCTATAATTGCTTGTTTAAAAATTTATTTTCATAGTGACTATATTTTGAAAAAAGGAGAAAAGTAACGATTTTTGGTACTTGTCAATTGACGATGTGTTCATTGTACTTAAATTATTTTTCCATCAATGAATGCAAGTAAATAGGTAAATATACAGATTTCACGCTCTATCAGAATATGTGATTACTTTTTTCAAAACCTATTTTTAATACTTAAAAAATCTTAAAAAACTATATGAGATTACAATGATTATATTAAGTGTGTGGAAATGAGGTACGGAAGGTGTGTTCATTTCTTTGGAATAATCTTTTTACATAGCGATCCAAACAAAAATATAAATGTACAGGAAGATGTAAAATTTCACGGGCTTCCCGAATATGTCGTTACTTTTTAAAAAATATGTTCTTTTGGTAACAATATCCTCAAAATACAGAGGGAAACTTATTTTTGCCAGGGGTATACATTAAGTAACTTAATCAAACCTAATTATTGTAATCTACACAGCGTCCAAGGCTCATATTGCAATGAAGCACAACTGAATGGAGTAACGAGTGACTCTGCATCACGAAAGGTTTCTTTTTCTTAGATGCTAAATTTGAAATGTTGCTCATAACCTCTAAGCACTGTTTTAGATGTAAAAACTTCACATCAAGCAAAAACTTTTGACTTCAGAAAATAGATGAAACAGATAAAAAATGTCGTCTGAGTATTGTCTCCGGGCATCGCTTGCTATTTGTCCTGAAATGGCACTGGAATCTTTACAGTCAAGGACCTCCGTCAAAAACTGAAGTTTTCTCCCTTTATAAGTATGAGTTTGCACTCTTTCTGGTTATGGAAGAAGGTAAACATTTCTTATCTTTATGTTTTGTTTGTTACATTGTTACCTTTGTCTGAATGTTATATTTGTTGAAGTCAAACATGTTGCAGAAAAAATCAAACCGTCAGAACTCGCTGCATTGGATGGACGAAAGAAAAAGTGTTGCTTTAGTCGAAGATGTTGATGCGTGTGTGAAGAAAGCACTTTTCAATTCTTTTTTCCTTTCATAATTCATTTTTACCGTTAAGATATGCAATTGCAGAGAACAAGTTTGTTTTCAAGTTAACGAGAAAAGTATTGAGTACTATTTAGCTTTAACACAGAACATTTGTTTGAATATGAGAGTGCGAGATACTGTTTTTGGTATACAATGTGTGTTTTCGGAATTAAAATTTAATTTTTGCCTAGAAGAAAATACTTCGTAATCTTGCACATTACTACATAAAACACCCTATTCATCGGCGTACGATACTTAAAGTCAACCGTATTCACCGTAACAAATTGCGTCAAATGACGTCTGACCGCCGATATTTGAGCGATGTCGACAATTGAGCAATTCGACATTAGACACTTTTCAATATAACTTCTTTTCGATCAGGAAAATGGAATGATTACTTATTTCGATAACGATGATGATAACTAGGTTTCTTTGTTTGTTCGATCATAAACTGAATTATTCGGAGACCTGTAGAGGATGAGGGTGAACAGCTATAAGTGATGTGTTTTCCTCAAATGTCGGTTGCTCAAACGTCAGTTAATCTTTAAATTGTAATATGTGGATATTACACGACTTGTTCACGTAACTTTGCCACTGTCAAATTCTTCTGTTTTGTAATCTCTATGCATTTCGAATGGAAAAATATCTAAAGCTCGTCAAGGTCTTTGTTTTCAAAAGTGACTCTCGTTTTTCGTCCTGCTTCTACAAATGTAAAAGTTGAAGAGAGTGCGGATTTCAAAACGTTCAGAACCTTTCATTCTACAAATGAAAGATGAAAAGCTTTAAGTGTATCTTCATGTGAAACATATGGATAGGTCAAAATAGAGAAACTTGATAGAACGTTACTCCGATAGCAAAGTGACTTGACCAAGTCGTACAGTAAAATTTATTTTTGAATTTAAGTATTTTGGAACCAGCCAGTTTCGTCGAACAGCAGAATGATTCCTTATCTCAAAAAAGGTTTGAATATGTTATTTCATTCAACCCCCAATGTATCAGAATCATCAGCTGTTTATCTAATTGCTGATGTACTTGGCAAGAATGAAGAAACTGGTCTACAGTTTTTTGATGCATTACTAGCAGCATTTGAGACTTTTGATGAACACAATCGTAATGCGCCCGGCGATAAGTTTTCCAATGAGATTGAATACATTATTGAATGTGCAATATATAGTATTAAACATGGAAAATATCCAGACCGTGCCGATTCGTTTTTTTACGTTTACCAGAGAATCCAGGAGTATGTAAAAATAATAAACTCATCATCGTATGGTAAAAGTATAGATAATTTGAAAAAATGTTTGTTATTCGAGACACGCCGACTGTTCTCGTCATCAAATGGTTTAGAACCAAATATGTTGATACAAGATAAAATTTTACTTAAACGAATCAAGATACAACAGTTTATTTCACCATTGACAGTAGACGATGAAAATACTTTAGAATTATTTTTAGCATTGGCAAAACTATTTTTTCAAGCGTCGATGTGTATAAATGAAGAAAAAGAGCAAAATCGTTCAATGTGGGTATATTTGATGAAAATGGCGCAAAAATTTAATCTCCCGCCGCTGGATATTCTTCAGAAAATTTCGAATACAAACAGGCATTTGTGCACTTTCCATTTGATGTCCAAGCGTATATTCATACGTTAAGCTTATCGAAACAGAAGATAGCATTTGAAGCAATTTTTGATTTCGCCGAACAACTACAATTAAACAATAGTGATTTATGGCAGGGATTCTTACCATTATTTGAACGCGTATTAATATATAATCATTATGAAAGCATTGAAATAGCTGACTTTTTGCAGCACATAAGCCAATATAATGACCTTTTTCGACATTATTATTCAATATTGTCCAACTCCAATCTCAATTCTAACACCGCTTGGAATGTATTTTTGATACTAGGTGGAAAAGGCGTTATCAATGATGATATTCGAAAACATACATATGAATTGGTTCAAAAGAATAAGAACATTGAGTGTTTCAACACATTAATGAATCAAGCTGTGCAATATTTGCCACGCATATCGGATGAAACAAACCGTACAAAATTAACCAAAGCGTTAGAAATAATATTTGACGATCATATGAAAAAGTTATCAAGAAATGAAGGTAAGTTTACGGCAAACAACAAGGTTTAATGGCGTGACAAGTCACTTTTGTTTCATTAATACATTATTTCACGGGTGCTTTTAACATACTTTAAGCGTGGATACGTGATTTTTCAGTGAGAGTTCAAATGTGCAATCGCGTGCGGTTTTTATCTTTTCACCAAATACATCTGACGCAGCAACCGTCTGCTTGGATCTTCCATCGCAGAGTGTGTTAGCTTTTTTTAAATATTTGTACCAGGTAACTTTTTTTAGGAAATTCTTCCACAACAGAGTGGAAATTAAAGGATCTGTTGTGTACTGCTGTTCAGTTGTCATCATTTTCAAATAATCCTCCTGATCAGTTATGTTATGTTTCCTTAACAATCGAATATTTAATTAAATCATGTGCGAGTCACAGTAGTGAAATACCGGCTATTATTGCTAACATCAATCGCTTAGTCAAAGTCTTACGTGATTTAAATGAGAATGTCTATCAAAAATTAGACCCTTCATTATTCGTCAAGGATGGATGGATGAGTAATTTTCTTTTGCCAGTTCCAACTGGATGGGTAAACATTTCACGAAGCATATATTACAATATTTGTAACCCTCACCAAAACAATCGATGGATTCTGAGTGTTTGGAAACGTATTGTGACTTTGAGTCTGCTCAAATTTAAAGCTGAAAATACGAAAAACATATTAATGGCATTTGATCGATGGTTAAAGGATATAGACCGACTCAAATACAATAGTGAAGATCTATTTACTGTTGTATTAGTCACAAATTTATTCAACACAGCCGCTGCATTTATACAACCTTTTGAATTGTCGAATATTGAGCATATAACAAATTATATTATGAATGTAAGAAAAGATCTACAGCATTTACAGACAATGGTCGAAATCGATATGAATAACATTGATAAATTCATTGAAAATGGTCGCCAGCATATTCGAGATGTTTTATCCTTGAATGGTACGTATGTACCCCTACCTTTTTCTGATGAGAAGAAGCTTATTTTCAATATACAATCCATCCATTTAGATCATACTGATAAGAATGACGGTCGAGTTACATAAGATATGAGAAAAATGCTGTCATTTCCAAAATGCAGAGGCATTTTGTTTTATTTTCAGTCGTGAGGATATTTAAGGGTACCCCTTGTAGTAGCACGTTAGCCCTCTATAACTTGCTATAACAAAAATAACCTTCAGTTCGGTTTTACACACCAACAACAAATTATTATTACGATAAAATATTTTACAGAAAAACTAACGTACAATAATGA